GTCTCAAAAAACAAAAAAACAAAACAAAAAAACAAAACAAAAAAATATTTCCAAACTTTAAAAATACTCTTGCCAATCGCTTCATGACTCTCAATGCTGTAGACCAGAGGGTCAGCAAACTTTTTCTTAAAGGATCAAATAATAAATGTTAGTCTTGAGGGCCATAAGAACTGTTGCAATGCTGGGCGCGATGGCTCACGCCTGTAATCCCAGCACTTTGGGAGGCCAAGGCGGGCATATCACCTGCGGTCAGGAGTTTGAGAACAGCCTGACCAACAAGGAGAAACCCTGTCTCTACTAGTAACACAAAAATTAGCCAGATGTGGTGGCACATGCCTGTAATCCCAGCTACTTGGCAGGGTGAGGCATGAGCATCAGTTGAACCCAGGAGGCAGGAATTGCGGTGATATGAGATTGTGCCTTTGCACTTCAGCCTGGGCAACAAGAGTGAAACTCTGTCTCAAAAACAAACAAACAGAACTCTTGCAACTACTCAATTCTACTAGGAGCTTGAAAGCAACTATAGACAATATGCAAACAAAAAAGTGTGGTTGGGTTCCAATGAAACTTTTTTACAATAATAAGTGCTGGCCTGTGGGCAGTAGTTTGTCACCTCCAACTTGAGACAATGGCTTTGATTTTGTAAGGCAAGTACAAAGTAGAAAAATTCTGAAAGAACAGTTGAAAAACAATTTTTTTCCATTTTAAAACGATAAAACACTAAAGCAGCAGCCCTCAACCTTTTTGGGACCAGGGACTGGTTTCATGGAAGACAATTTTTCCATGGACCAAGGGTGGGGTCAGGGAAATGGTTTCAGGATGATTCAAGCACATTACATTTATTGTGCACTTCATTTGGAGTTTAGTGGCGTGATCTTGGCTCACTGCAACCTCTGCCTCCTGGGTTCAAGCGATTCTTCTGCCTCAGCCTCCAGAGCAGCTGGGACTACCGGCACACATCACCACACCCGGTTAATTTTTGTATTTTAAGTAGAAACAGGGTTTCACCATATTGGACAGGCTGGTTTCGAACTCCTGACCTCGTGATCCGCCTGCCTCAGCCTCCCAAAGTGCTGCTGGGATTACAGGCGTGAGCCCATGCCTGGCTTCTATTATTATTACGTTGTAATATGTAATGAAATAATCATACATAATGAAATCTACCATAATGCAGAATCGATGGGAGCCCTGAGCTTCTTTATCTGCAACTAGACAGTCCCATCTGGGGGTGATGGGAGACGGTGACAGATCATCAGGCATTAGATTCTCATAAGGAGCACGTGACCTAGATCCCTCCTTGCATGCACAGTTCACAACAGGGTTCATGCTCTTCTAAGAATTTAATGCTGCTGCTCATCTGACAGGAGGCAGAGCTCAGGTAGTGATGTGAGTGATGGGGAACAGCTGTAAACGCAGATAAAATTTGCTCACCGGCCTGCTGCTCACCTCCTGCTGTGCGGCCCAGTTCCTAACAGGCCACAGACTGGTACCCATTTGTGGCCTAGGGGTTGGGGACCCCTGCACTAAAGAAAACTTGGAGGAACAGCCAAAAAAATTAATTACCCACAGCTCATTATTTAAATATAACTACAATACTTGGTTCATTTCCTTTCAGTCTTTCTTTCTTTTTAGGGTCGGGGTCTCACTCTGTTGCCCAGGTTGTTGTGCAGTAGCAGGACTGTGGCTCACTGCAGCACCAAAATCCTGGCCCAAGCGATCCTCCCATCACAGTTTCCTAAGTAGTAGGTGCACACCTAATTTTTAAAGTTTTTTTGCAGAGATGGGCTCTCACTGTATTTCCCAGGCTGGTCTTCACCTCCTGGCTGCAAGTGATCCTCCCTCCTGTCTCCTCAGCTTCAACTTAATCCCACAGGGAGCTCACAAGTGTGAACTGCATGACATTCCCTCCTTAAGGGAGGAGGACAAACCCCATGCTTGTCAGTCACTGGCTAAAGGCTAGCGGGAAGAGCAAGGTGGCCTAGGACAGTTCCCTGAAATACCTTGGGGGAAAAGAATATGAAATCTGTAAGCTTTGGATGGTGTAGTTAAAATACACATACAAATATAGATACATAAGGCAAGCACAGCAAAATGCAAGAAATGTCAGATCTAGGTATAGATTTTAATAGTGTTCACTGTATGATTCTTTCAACTATTCTAAAGGTTGAAATTTTTTCATAATAAAAATGTGAAGAAAGGTCGGACGTGGTGGCTCACACCTGTAATCCCAGCACTTTGGGAGGCCAAGACGGGCAGATCACAAGGTCAAGAGATAGAGACCATCCTGGCCAACACGGTGAAACCCCGTCTCTACCAAAAATACAAAATTAGCCGGGCATGGTGGAGTACGCCTGTAGTCCCAGCTACTCAGGAGGCTGAGGCAGAAGAATTGCTTGAACCAGGGAGGCAGAGGTTGCAGTGAACCAAGATTGCACCACTGCACTCCAGCCTGGTGACAGAGCAAGACTCCATCTCAAAAAAAAGAAAAAAAATGAGAAGAAAAAAGAGAATGGGTGTGTCACTCCAAAACCTGTTCTTTTGCAGATTGCCATCCTGATACTGATGTCCAGAGCTGGACAAAGAAAACCTGCCACATATCTTGAATGCATTTTCTCCCTCATCTTCTACCTACAGTTGGTCACTAGATCATGTCAATTTTTACCTCTGAATAATCTTCTCTCGCACTGCCCTATTAGACCAGGCTTGTTAGCTTTCTAGCCTGGACTAATACAATACCCATTTAATTGGGCATCTTTCTTTTCTTTTTTCTTTTTATAGAGACAAGTTTTGCTCTGTCTTGCCTAGGCTGGAGTCCAGTGGAGTGGTGCAATCTTGGCTCACTGCAGCCTCCATGTCCTGGGTTCAAGCGATCCTCCTGGCTCAGCCTCTTGAGTAGCTGGGACTACAGGTGCATGCCACTACACTCAGCTAATTTTGTATTTTTAGTAGAGACAGGGTTTCACCATGTTGTTGAGGTTGAACTCCTGACCTCAGGTGATTCACCCGCCTCGGCCTCCCAAAGTGCTGAGATTAAAGATGTGAGCCACTGCGCCTGGCCTCTTTTTTCTTTTAAGAAATAAAAGGCTGGGCGCGGCGGCTCACGCTTGTAATCCCAGCACTTTGGGAGGAGGCCGAGGCGGGTGGATCACGAGGTCAAGAGATCGAGACCATCCTGGTCAACATGGTGAAACCCTGTCTCTACTAAAACTACAAAACATTAGCTGGGCATGGTGGTGCATGCCTGTAATCCCAGCTACTCAGGCTGAGGCAGGAGAATTGCTTGAACCCAGGAGGCGGAGGTTGCGGTGAGCCGAGATCGCGCCACTGCACTCCAGCCTGGGTAACAAGAGTGAAACTCCGTCTCCAAAAAAAAAAAAGAAATAGAATCTTGCTGTATCACCCAGGCTAGTGTCAAACTCCTGGGCTCATAGGATCCTCATGCCTCAGACTCCCAAGAAGCTGGGTCTACAGGCATGAGCACTAAGCCTGGCTTGGGCATCTTTCTAGTGTACCACCTTTAATTTATCCATTTCTCACTTAGCACCTAGATTCATCATTCCTTTTTTTTTTGCTTTGAGATAGGGTCTTGCTTCTGTCACCTAGGCTGCAGTGTACTGGTGCAATCACAGCTCACTACGGCCTCTAACTCCTGGGCTCAAGTGATACTCCCACCTCAGCCTCTTGAGTAGCCGGGACTATAGGTCCATGCTACCATGCCCAGCTAATTTTTGTATTTTTGGTAGAGACGGGGTTTTGCCACGTGTCCTGGCTGGTCTCAAACTCCTGGGCTTAAGCGATCCGACTGCCTTGGCCTCCCAAAGTGCTAAGATTATAAGCATGAGCCACCGTGCCCAGGCTAGATTCCTCATTCTAAACTGCAATTATGATCATGGTATTCCCTCTATAATTCAGTGTTTCCTCATTGTCTATATTAGGGTAAACTTCCCTGACACAGTTCATAATGCCTCTGTACCATGGTGCCAGCTTACCTCTCTAGCTTTACCCCCACTTCCCACTTATATCCACAACCCTGTGCATGATCCATTCTGAACAATTTACCAACTCCTTAAGTGACGTAACTTTCCTTAGCTGTTGAATCTAGAAATCCTATGCCCAGAATGCCTTCTTCCCTCTCTGTACTGCTGGAAAATTCCTCCTTATACCTCAAGAATAAGTTTGAATTTTTTCTGGGAAGGCTTCCCTGAACGCTCTAGGCAGTTAAGTGGTTCCTTTTTGTATCCCTGTAGCACACGTTGTACATGCCTTTCTTACATTCGTCACACTACAGTAAGTTATTGCATACGTGTCTATTTCTTCTCTAGTAGAAGTGAGACCAGGAAGGTAGAGGCTGGACTCTTTATATCTGTGACCTTAATATTTAGCACAACGCTTAACAAATGTCTGCCCAATGTGCTTAACACATGTCTGATGAATAGCCAAGGCTTTTTAGCATTATAAACTTACTACAGCTGGTGAAGGAACATGAATGCTTGGGACAGATCGAGGTCGCACATGATTTGCCAAGTGGCAAAGAACAACGCCATCAGTTAGAGCTGCTCCGAGATCACAAGGCAGAGATACTTTCAACCGGTACTCAATATGCTAAAAGAACAAAAAACATGTAAATATATTAACTGAAGAATGACTGACACATAGGACATAAGGGAGTTATAATGAAATCTATTTAATTTAAAAAACAAGACAAAAAGGAAACAAGTACCACATCATCCATTTTATCCCTCTATCCTAAGTCTAGCTTAAGGAAATCTAATATGTATGTATGGCAGCCAGGCCGCAGTGGTACAAAGTACAACAAAAATTTATTTACAACTTTCTAATTAAAAAAAACAAAAAACAAAACCTAGATTCTCTTTCAATTCCAAAATAAAGAGCAAATCACTATGTATGTATAAGTGTGATATTTATATATATGTGTGTACACACATATAAATTATTACTCTGACAATATCTCTTTGTAACATGAAGCAGAAAAAAAAATTTAAATGAATAGGGCTAAGAATTGAGCTTTATAGAATAAACCACCTCATTTTCTAAGTAAACAGCTGAAAATAATTTCCTTAATAGCAAAATGTTCTACATTCATCACAAAACAGAGCACAAAATGGGTACTTGTTAATTCCACTAAAAATTACAGCTAGGCATGGAGGCTCACACTGTAATCCCAGCACTTTAGGAGGTTGAGGCCAGTGGATCACCTGAGGTCAGGAGTTCGAGACCAGCCTGGCCAACATGGTGAAACCCCTTCTCTACCGAAAATACAAAATTAGCTGGGTATAGTAATGAGCACGTATAATCCCAGCTACTTGGGAGGCTGAGGCAGAAGAATTGCTTGAACCCAGGAGGCATAGGCTGCAGTGAGCCAGGATCATGCCACTGAACTCCAGCCTGGGTGACTCCGTCTAAAAAAAGAAATAAATTAAGATTACATGTCAAATGAAGAAGTGATTGCAGGATTATGGTCTATAGCAATAACACTGAAAAAGTGTAAACCAAAGGTAATGTACATACTTTACGCAACTGATCTATCAATTCCAGCTCTTCTTCTCTCTGTCTTGAATTCTGTCTTGTTATGGAATCTATAGACTCAGTGGCAGGTACGGCAGATGGAGGAAGGGGTGAAGCATGACCTACAAAAATATTAATATGTAAGACAGAAAGGTAGCTGCCAGTGCTAGGAAAATATCCAGCTCTCCCTGATCACAGTTTTCTTGCAAATACAGTATAGTGCTTTCTACTTTCTGGATTGACTTTTTAAAAGGGTTTTTATTATGGAGATTTTCAAATATACACAACAGAGAATAGTATTAAAAAACTACAGGCCAGGCGTGGTGGCTCACGCCTGTAATTCCAGCGCTTTGGGAGGCCAAGGTGGGCAGATGACGAAGTCAAGAGATCAAGACCATCTTAGCCAACATGGTAAAACCCCGTCTCTACTAAAAATACAAAAATTAGCTGGGCGTGGTGGTGCGTACCTGTAGTCCCAGCTACTCGGGAGGAAAGACAGGAGAATTGCTTAAACCTGGGAGGCGGAGGTTGCAGTGAGCCAAGATCGTGCCACTGCACTCCAGCCTGGCACCTGGTGACAGAGCAAGACTCTAAAAAAAAAAAAAAAAGAAAAAGAAAAAAAAAAGACGAAGAAAAAGAAAAAAACTACGTAATGTTTGTTACCCAGTTGACACAACTACTTTTGTTTGATTACATCCACTTAAAAATGTTTTTATTGAAAATTAACACATACAGAAAAATACACAAATCATAGGCATAGTGCTCAATAAAATATCCTCGGAAAGTGAGGACAGTAAGGTTTATAATGCAAACTTACCAATCCCAGGAGCCCCTTCCATGCTCCTTGCCCATAAGTACCCAAAGTGCTCAAAACCAGTATCCTGACTTCTAACACTGTAGACTGGTTTTGTTCATTTTTGAACTTTGTATAAATTAAGCTGTGTTGCATGTATTCTTTTGTTTCTGTCTTCCTTTGGTCAATGATATGTTTATGAGATTGATTCATGTTGTTGTATACAGGACTTTGTTCATTGCTTATATGATATTCCACTATACAAATACACAATTCATTTACCCATTCTGTTGACGGACACTATTTCACTGTTTCAGACTATTATGAATAATGCTGCCATGAGTATTTTTGTACATATTTCTGGTATACATGTGTACATATTTCTCAAAAGTAAAACTGTGGTCATGGGGTAGACAGTCATCACTCAGTATCCATGGGAAATTGGTTCCAGAAACCACCCCTTCCCATACCAAACTTCGTGGATGATCACATCCCCTATTTAAAATGTAGTATTATTTGCATACAACCTATGTATATCCTCCTTAATACTATACTTTAAATCATCTCTATGTTACTTATAATACTTAATACGATGTAAATGCTATATAAATTGTCATTATACTGTATTTTATAATTTGTATTATTTCTTTATTGTGGCATTATTTATTATTGTTATATTTTTTCTGAAGAATTTTCTGTCCATGATTGGCCGAATCCATAAACGCAGAATCCGTGGGTACAGAGGCTGACTGATAATGCAGTCCTCCCTGCTTTCTTACATTCTTACCAGCAGTGCACCTTTAGGTTGACTTTTAAGTCTTACTTCGAATGGATCTGTTGATAAAATTAAAGATAGGCTGTGTTTTTTGTTTGTTTGTTTGTTTCTTGAAAAAGGGTCTCACTTTGTCACCCAATCTGCAGTGCAGTCGTGCAATCTTGACTCACTGCAGCCTCAACCTCCCGGGCTCAAACCATCCTACTGCCTCAGGCCCCCGCAAGTAGCTGTGACTACAGGCCCGTGCCACTATGCCTAGCTAATTTTTTGTATTTTTTTAAGAGTTGGGATTTTGCCATGTTGCACAGGTTGGTCTCAACTCCGGAGCTCGTGATCCCACCTCGCTCGGCCTCCCAAAGTCCCAGGATTACAGGCATAAGCCATCACGCCTGGCCTATTTTTTAATTTTTTTTTTGAGACATAGTTTCGCACTGTCATCCATGGTGGAGTGTAGTGGCGCAATCTCATCTCACTACAACTTCCACCTCCTGGGTGGACTCCGCCAGGACTCCGCCAGGTGGACACCTTCAAGTGACTCCGCCTCAGCCTCCCAAGTAGCTGGGACAACAGGCGCATGCCACCATGCCTGGACAATTTTTGTTTTCTTGGAGACACAGTCTCACTCTGTCACCCAGGCTGAAACGCAGTGGCGCAAACTTGGCTCACTGCAACCTTTGCCTCCCAGGTTCAAGTGATTCTCCTGCCTCAGCCTCCTGAGCAGCTGGAGTTACAGGCACTATAAAAAAATACCCAGCTAATTTTTCTATGTTTTCAGTACAGACAGGGTTTCACCATGTTGGACAGGCTGGTCTCAAACTCCTGACTTCATGTGATCCGCCCACCTTGGCCTCACAAAGTCCTGGGATTACAGGAGTGAGCCACCGTGCCCAGCCAATTTTTGTATTTTTAGTAGAGATGGGTTTCATCACGTTGGCCAGGCTGAACTCCTGACCTCAAGTGATCTGCCTGCCTCGGCCTCCCAAAGTGCTGGGATTGCAAGTGTGAGCCACCATGCCCAGCCTTATTTTTGTTTTTTTTTTAAGAGACAAGTCTTGCTCTGTTGGCCAAGCTAGAGAACAGTGGTGCTTTTAATTATAATTCACTGTAACCTTGAACTCTTGGACTCAAGCAGTCCTCCCCCTCAGCCTCCCAATTAGCTGGGACCATAGGCACATACCACCATGAAAAAAGTAGTCATTTTTGACTTGAAACGGTTGTTTCCACTCCCAGGTAACTTCTCTTTTGGGGATCAGGCAGAAATTTGTCATTATAAACTAAAAGAACATGAGACTTTAAGTAGTTTAAAAATTATTGATTCATTGTTTTAAGAAAAAAGCTTTTATCAACAGAAAAATCTGAAATTGAGCTCATTACCAAGACAAAGAACATTGCCTAAACCCTCGAAAGAGCATTTTATTTGTTAAAACGCTCTATAACCTGCTTTTAGGTGGCACTAAGAAACATTCTCATCCAAACAAATTCAAGTAAGATTTTCCTGATTTAACATCAGTGAGATCACAGACACACGCACAAGGCTTTTGCCAAGGTGATAGCTTGGTGTAGAAGTTTAACAGCATGCACCTAATAGCTAGTGTCACTGTGTAAACCTCCCCTTGCCCCTGGCTTTTAAAATCACTGCCACCTACCTTTGTTTGTTTCTGCCCTGACACCTGCTCGGAAAAGGAAGCTTTCAGGGCGCTGAGGCTGATTTCTCTGGATAGCAGCAGGAAAAGAATACGCAGGGGAATGATGAACTAAATCAGCATGAAAAGTAAAATGAGATTACAGGAAATGAAAAGAAAATATAACAGCAGACATACAAGTTATAAAAGTTAAATAGCAAATAAAAAATCAAACATGGTAATGATGTAAAATAATAATTCTATTTAATAATGAAAAGTCTGGTACAGAAAAGTAATCCTGAAAGCAGGGGGACTGCTTGTGTGTATTTCATGTTGTCATGTTATTTGTGGTGTGTCCATAAAGGCAGAATGAAAGTTAACATACTGAACAGTCTCCTGCAAACCTAGGGCCCTGCTAGCTGTTGTTTACTTATTCATATCAAATGGCTTACTAGGTGAACAACCAATTTAATTTAAAAATGGGGGAAAAACCCAGTGGTTTCCAATTCTTTATCTGATTTCCATCTCGGAAAAAGCAGCCACAGCTCACTAAGAAGGAATTTAGGAAAATCTTGGTAAAAATGTATCATCTTGGCTGCGTGGTGTGGCTTACACCTGTAGTTGAAATACTTTGGAAGGCCAAGGCAGAAGGATCCCTTGAGCCCAAGAGTTTGAGACCAGCCTGGTCAACATAGAAAGTCCTTGTCTCTATTTAAAATTTTTTTAATTAAAAAAAAAAAAAAGAATTATACTCTTGATGTGGCTAACTGCACCTTGGTGTCCATTACCTTTTTCTGTTGTAGATGAACTTACTAGAGCATTAGGTCTGTCATCAACCTGTGAGGAAACAGAGATACATCAATAATTATTATTCAAGAAGAAATACTTTCTACTTTTACGGTAATTTTGGAATTATAAAAGACAAAAAACAGGCAGCTCTCCTTCACAATTAAGTCTAGAGATGAGAATTTGGGCCAGGTGTATCCCATTGGGAGGCTGAGGTGGGAGGATCGCCTGACAGCAGGAGTTGAGACCAGCCTAGGCAACACAGTGAGACCCTGTCTCTACAAAAAAAATTTTAAAATTAGTTAGGCGTAGTGGCGTGCTCCTGTGGAGGCTGAGGCAGGATCACTGGAGCCCAGGAATTGAAGGCTGTAATGAGCTATGACTGTGCACTGCACTCCAGCCGGGGTGACAGAGCAAGATACTGTCTCTCTTTTTTTTTTTTTGTTTTTGAGATAGGGTCTCACTCTGTCATCCAGGCTAGAGTGCAATAGCATGGTCTCCCAGGGTCAGGTGATCCTCCTACCTCAGCCTCCCAAGTAGCTGGAACTATAGGTGCACACCACCATGCCCAGTTAATTTTTGTACTTTTTGTAAAGACAGGGTCTTGCCATGTTAGCCAGGTTGGTCTCAACCTCCAGAGTTCAAGTGATCCACCCGCCTCAGCCTCCCAAACCGCTGGATTACAGATGTGAGCCACTGTGCCTGGCCTGACCCTCTCTTTAAAAAAAAAGAAAGAAAGAAAGAAAAAAATGAGGGTTTGATGAAATGAATTCTGTATTTTTAAAAGCCAAGCTGGCCGGGTGAAGTGGCTCACGCGGTCAGGGGTTCAAGGCCAGACTGAATTATTAGATTATTCTAGACATGGAGGAAGAAATAAGTTCAAAAATTTCAAAAACACTTATTAACAGGACATAGACTACAAATTTAAGTATATTAAAGAATAAGAGGAGAAAATTCATAGGCAACTTTATTAGATGAGAAAGAAAAGCTTAAACAAACAACACTGATGGGGAACGAATGTTCTCTCTCTGGTTTGAAACAGCAATAGGTCGGGTGCAGTGGCTCACACCTATAATCCCAGCACTTTGGGAGGCTGAGGTAAGTGGATGGCCTGAGGTCAGGGGTTTGAAACCAGCCTGGCCAACATGACAAAACCCAATCTCTAGTAAAAATACAAAAGTTAGCCAGGTGTGGTGGGACACGCCTGTAGTCCCAGCTAGTTGGGAGGCTGAGGCAGAAGAACTGCTTGAACCCAGGGGGTAGAAGCTCCAGTGAGCTGACACTACACCACTGCACTCCAGCCTGGGCAACAGAGCAAGACTCCATCTCAAAAAAACAAAAAACAAACAAAAGAAACAACAGACAATACACAACTGGGTATGATGAAAAACAAAGCCAGAATAGAGGAGACTTATAAATATGATGGTTTTTAAAATGTATTTTTATTGAAGCTATAAATCTAAGTGACCTACATTGTAGGATACTAAAATAATTAGCTTAAATCAGTCTGGGGCTATTTACCATATTTGGGAACTCTTGGAAAACTGGAGAGCAAAAAAAATAAAAAGAAAAAATCTCTCACTGGAGAATTTAGGCAATGAAAAAAAAAGAACCTCAGAAACTGGCATAAACTCAACCCTTAAGCTTGGCTAAGCAATAAGATAAAATAATTCATAAATATAATGTATAATTGCTGTGAAAATAACAGAGATAGGCCAGGCGCGGTGGCTCACGCCTATAATCCCAGCACTTTGGGAGGCGGAGGCGGGTGGATCACGAGGTCAAGAGATCGAGACCATCCTGGTCAACAAGGTGAAACCTCGTCTCTACTAAACATACAAAATTAGCTGGGCATGATGGTGTGTGCCTGTAGTCCCAGCTACTCGGGAGGCTGAGACAGGAGAATTGCTTGAACCCAGAAGGCGGAGGTTGCGGTGAGTCGAGATCGTGCCATTGCACTCCAGCCCAGGTAACAAGAGCGAAACTCTGTCTCAAAAAAAAAAAAAGAAAGAAAATAACAGAGATACTAAAAAAATAAAGAATACGTCTTTCCTTTTTTCCTTTTCTACGCTGAGCGAAAGAGTGAGGCTCTGTCTCAAAAAAAGAAAAGTTGGGGTCAGCATTAAAAAAACATGATGCAGGCTGATCTGAGGGTTACCAGAGGCTGGGAAGGGTGGAAGTGGGCTTAATGGGTACAAAAAATAAAAAGTAAGATCCAGTATTTGATAGTACAAAAGGGTCATTATAGCAAATAATTTAATTGTAAATTTTAACATAACTAAAGGAGTATAATTGGATTGTTTGTAACACTAAGGATAAATGCTTAAGGTGATGAATAGCCCACTTACCTGAGATAATTATTATACATTACATAACTGTATCAAAGTTATCTCATAAATATACACTCCTACTATGTATCCACAAAAATAAAAATAAAAAAATACAAGGGCATGATACAAGAATTCAGTTTTTATGTTTTTAGTCACAGTCTTGCTGGGGTGCAGTGGTGTGTGATCACGGCTCACTGCAGCCTTGAATTCCTGGCATCAACTCTAGTCCCTCCTTGGACTCCCAACACTGGGATTACATATGTGAGCCAGTGTGCCTGGTGCAATGCAACAATTTAAAAGTATTCTGGTATATTAGAGAAGTAAAAATGTTCAAACAGCAAAATTAAATATTCAGGAAAAATACAGGATACAACATGTGGAAAATAACTGTCATTTAGAAGTACAACTAGGTTGGGTGCAGTGGCTGACACCCAGCACTTTGGAGGCTGCGGCGGGATGACTGCTTGAATCCAGGAATTTGAGACCAGCCTGGGCAATGTAGTGGAACCCTGTCTCTACAAAAATTTAAAAAATTAGCCAGGTGTGGTAGTACGCATCTGTAGTCTCAACTACTCAGGAGACTAGGGTGGGAGGATTGCTTGAGCCTGGAAGGCAGAGGTTGCAGTGAGCTGATACTATACTCCAGCCTGGGAGACAGAGCAAGACTCTGTCTCAAAATATAAAAGAAGTATAACTAAAACATTTGGGAATTACAGTGGATACTCAGCAAAAAGAAGACCAAAATTTCTAAAACCGCCCTAAATGGGCAAGCTCTAATGAGGGACATATTTCTAGTTGTGGACCATGAATGAAGCCAGAATGGAGGGCAGAGAACTTGTGAAAATCCATTAAAGATTAACAGGCTAGGAAAGGTATGTAAAAGGATCTGAGTTTATTTAGGAAAAAACTAAGGATGGCATCATAACTGTTTTTAAATTCTTACATTAAAAAAAGGAAATCCTTTTTTTTTTTTTTTTAAAAAAAAAAAAGAGGATTCTTATATTAAAAAATGCTAAATAAATAGAAAATCTCCATTCTGGAAAATAAAAAAGTGTAAACCACAGCAGGACAGTTGTTAAGTCAAACAAAGGTCTTCTTGAGAGTGAGAACTGTTAATCGTTTTGTACATATCCAGTGATAACAAATATGGAATTACCATTCCTAGAGGCCTTCAAAAAACAAAATACTACAGGTTCTTAATTTTTAGAGTTTAAATTTTTCCAGAAGGTGATGTGTATCATCTCTTATGACATTATTGTTGATATACATTTTTTTCTTATAGGGCCAGACCGTACATATTTTAGGCTTGTAGGTATATGGTCTTGGTCATAATTATTCCAACTCAGGTGTTTACTGTGCAAGCAATCATAGGTAATATATAAACAAAAGGGACTGGATATAAAGATAAAGCTTTATTCATAAAACCAAGTGGCCTAGGGGCCATAGTTGGCTGTCCCCTACTGTAGAGGGTTTTGGTAGTGACAGTTTTTTTGGACTCAAATTATTTTGTATGCAATTAGACAACAGAGTTAATTTGATATTATAGTTAATTTGATATTATATACTAATCAAAGCGAAATAATAATTCATGACAAGAAAAAAACCTTTGATAAAAAAAATCAGAATAACAGGCCGGGCGCGGTGGCTCAAGCCTGTAATCCCAGCACTTTGGGAGGCCGAGGTGGGTGGATCACAAGGTCAAGAGATCGAGACCATCCTGGTCAACATAGTGAAACCCCATCTCTACTAAAAAAACTAAAAAAATTAGCTGGGCATGGTGGCGCGTGCCTGTAGTCCCAGCTACTCAGGAGGCTGAGGCAGGAGAATTGCCTGAACCCAGGAGGCGGAGGTTGTGGTGAGCCGAGATCGTG